CTATATAATTATTTTTATTATTTTGATTTCCAAAATAGTTTCTTTTGTATTCTTAAAGTCTATATAGTTAAGTATAATTAAATGATGATAAAAAAATATTATATATTATCTAACATGTCATTCATATAAACATATATTTCAAAGGATATATAAATATATATATATATATATATATATATTAAAAAAATAATAATTACATAAAATTTATATTTATCTTTTCATCATTTTGTTTATGACATATATTATTAAATTTTTATATTACAAAATTTCACATGTAATATTTTGTTTAAGTATTGTTTTATTTATTGTATATGTATTATTATCACCCTCTTCGTCCTGTATTAAGTATTATTTTAGGCTATTTATATATGTGAGAAAATTAATAAATATAAGAAAAAAAAATCTCTTATGATTATCTTCGTTCTTAATGATGGTGGAACACCAAACTCTTTCTTTTAGGTAATATTATTCTTTTTTATTAAAAATGATAAAACATAAAATTGACTTTTTTATATAATATTATTAAGAGTGTAAATAAAGAAAAAAATTAATTAATACTAAGAATATTTACAATGCAATTTAATTCAATTTTTATCTTAAAAGTTTTTCGAATCAAACAAAAAAAATTAAGTACAACTCAATTTGACTTGAATGAAGTATAAAATTCAAATCAAACCAAATAATTTTTTCAATTTTGTTTGATTTTGCAGTTTTTAAAAAATTGTTATTTTAAAATCTACTAAAAAAATATGTAATATTATATTATTTGTTAAAAATTATATGTAAAAAATAAAATATAAAATATAAAAAATATCAAAATATTTCAATCACTAGATATATTTAACACCAATTTCTATTTTATTATTTTAGTAAAAATATTTCTTTAATATTCACTTATATACTATTTAATTGTCTAATCTCTAATCGATGTGGAACTTTCTTAGAATAGTAGATTTAAACCTAACTCAACCCTACAAAACCGGCTTGTAAGGTGAGGGTTGCTTTCCACTTATATACTATTTAATTGCCTAATCTCTAGTCGATGTGAGACTTGAGTTTTTCCCAATACACCCCTCACGTCCAACACTATTGGGCTTGGTATGTAGATAAATGGTAGATGATCCTTTTTTTAATGATCTAGGATTGACGGGACTTGAATACACCCCTCATGTCCATGGTGCATGTATTAATGAATGGTAGGTGACTCTTTTTTTAATGATTGGCGGGACTTGAATACACCCTCTCATGCCCATGGTGTATGTATCAATGAATGGTAGGTGACCCCTTTTTTAATGATTGGCGGGACTTGAATACACTCCCTCATGCCCATGGTGTATGTATCAATGATGAGTCGCCCATTTTTAAGAATATAGGATAACTCTGATATCATCTTAGAATAGTGGATTAAACCTAACTCAACCCTACAAAACTCGCATAGAATAGTATAAATTAGTTTGTGCAAAAGGAAACTACAGTGATAGTAAATTAATCAAAAAGAAAGAAGAAACTAGTAATAAAAAAATTGCATACTAATAATGCAAACAAATATTTTAATATTGATAAAATTAATGTGCATGATTTCGATGCATCGAGAAAACGAAATTCAATTTTATAGGATTTAGTTAAAATGATAACAATACTTGTACCAGATTTACCGGATATATGGAAGTATTTGGAGTGTGTTTATGAAATAATTTGAGTAGTTTATAGACTTTATTAACTAATTTATAAACTTTTTTTAAAAAAAAAATTAGGTTGTTTGATATGCAATTTTATTATCAAATTTATAATTTTTTTTGTAAGTTAATTGAAATAGTATATAACATAAATTTTTAATTTTTTTTTATCATGATTAATTTATGAAATCTTTTTTACTTTTTTTTTATTTAAGAATTTTTTTGTCTACAAGTTTGTGTCTCTCTCCTTATAAACTAAAGGATTTGTCTATCGTGTATATTGCACATTTTAAGGAGCTTAAATACTCACTTTCAAAATATTTCTCCCACCTAATTAATTATGATATTTTAAAAAATATAAATTTCTCTCTCATATTTATTTAATCTCTCCCTTCTTAAAAACCATATTTTATTGCTAGTCGTAATAAAACTCTTTGTGCTAATTTAATTATTTATTTATTATATCTAAAGTTTAGAAAAAAAAATCATGAAAAGTAAATTATTATATTTGAATTTGAATAAGCGACGAAATTTGATTCATAAAAATTGAATTTAAATGAAAACTAATACATTTTTGATTTTATTATCTTTAAAGTAAATTTATATTGAATCATAGTATAAAAGTTTTAAAATGTTAACATAAGACAACAATCTAATGGTTGCATTTAGTCATTTAATAGTGAATTTTTTATTATCATATATTATATTTATGTATTTTTTATATGATAAATACTTTATTTTAAAAAAATAGTATGAAGTAGTAATATATAATTGTTCTAATATTTTATAGAAAAAAAAATTAAGAATGCACAAAAAATTTTAGTGTGAGTAAGCACATTTTTTCTAGAAAAAAGAGGTTAAATAAAAATGAGTGAGAAATTTGTTTTTTTTTTCAAAATATCATAATTAATTATGTAACATTGTACTCGAGTAAGTTGGGTAAGTTGTGAGGGTCTCTGACCAGAAGTTTAGTTAATCCTAAGAGAAGACGATATATAAGGTTGTATTTTGAATTAAGCTTCATATTCATAATTTTCAGACCTTAGAGAAAGAGTTTATAGAGAGAGAAACTTTGTCCCATTTCTTCTCTTCTTCATAAATCCCTCTAGTACATGAAGATTATTGTTGGATAGTGGATTCAAAGCATTTGAAGGCTGAGAATCTGAGTTGGGTGGTGTAGAGCTGGTGGAGTTCAGAAGCACGAAGCTTCTTTTCTTCTTCTTCCTCTACTTCTCTTTCGGAAAGCTTGGAATCGAGGTAAGAGAAGTTAGGATGCACTACAACAAAAATGTTAATTTTCGACGGAAAATTTCTGACAGATATGGATCCGTCGGAAATTTTCGACGGAAATATAAATCTGTCAGAAATTTCCGACAAAAACTTTCCGACGGAAAAATAATTCCGTCAAAAATTGCTAACGGAAAATTTCCGACGGAAAATTCCGTCGGAAATCTTATTTTTAATTATTATTTTTAATTTTTAATTTTAGTTTCTTTTTTTAATTTCTTATTTTTAATTTCTTATATATATTTGTAGTATTAAAAATTTTATATATCTTTTAAAGGTATAAATATATATTATAATTATTTATTACAAGTTTTTTATATCTACGATTAGTATTAAAGATGAAAATAAATTAGGTTATACTATATTTTATTATAATTTACTTGGTTTGAACCTAACTTTCTTTAAAAATATATATTTTAAGTGTGACTTATTTATCTATCATAGATAATTTTTAAATATTTGGGTAGAACTACAATCATATAGACTTATTTTATAATAATTTAACACTATTAAAAATATAAAAATCTATATGTTAAATTTATAAAAATAAAGTTTAATTTATTTATGATATAAATATGTTTTTAATATCTAATATATATTTTTAGATGATAATTTATTTTAAAATATATCTTATAATAACAATTCTAAATGGAATATAAATCTTATGATTTTTCTTATTTTGATTTTTTTAATCAATGTATACAATTTTACTATTTTGATTTTTTCAATCAACGTATACAATAAATAAAAAA